ATATATATATATATATATATATATATATACATATTTCTTTTTTGATTTCCCACTGGGGATGAGCCTGCAGCCCTTGACCGGAATCGAACCCGGGACCCTTCAGTCCACAGGCCGACGCTCTATCCACTGAGCAACACCAGCTAGGGCCCATCCATTTTGTATTTTTTACTTACTACATCATAAGCGTCCTCCCATGACCTTAACCACTCCTCACCATTCTAATCGCTGTCATGCTCCAACCTATGGCTCTTGGGGAATCGTTCCTCTGATCCCCAAGCTTTTGGACATCCTGGTGGCTTCTGATGGACTCCACAAGGAACCACCACGTGCCTCAGTGCCTCTTTGCACTTCTATTTCTGTGGGGTCATTTCCAGTCTGGTCTTTCTCCTGGGGCCCCCTCTTCAGGGGGTTTCTGGGGGATGGCTGAGGGGTGTCGCTCTGCGATTGATGCTTTGGCCAGCTGCTGAGCTCAGAGCCACCACGTCTGCCCAAGCCATTTGCATTCCACGTTAGGAGGGAAGTGGTTCAGGGACCAACTAAGGCCACTTCGTGGAGACAGCCCCGCGCACTGTGGGGTGGACAGTGATAGCTCTCACAGGGCAGAACCCAGCTCACCTCCGCTGTGGGGAGTCCCCACCTCCAGCCAGGAGGGCTCCCCCTTCCGCACCCTACCCAGTCCTTCCTGCTCCTGGACACTCCGCCTCCTTTTGTGGACACCCTCACACCAACCCCCACATGGTCCAAGATCACGCAATCACCGCGTTCATCCAGCGCTGGGACATCCAGAATCCAGGCAAAGTCTCTTCAGAGATTTCGGGGCCAACCACTCTCAAGGCAAAGAGGTAGTTCACAACTAGATAGACCCTGACCCCGCTGGCCTGTGGAACAGCATTTGGTTTCGTGGTGACTTCACTGTCCCCCAGAACACCGCGGGGGTCCCGCCTTCTGTGACTAAGCGGCCCATCCGGTGACTTTCCAGAACAAGGCCATCTTCAGAGAGGGCCACCAGCACCTTCCACCCGGAACTGCAGCGAGCCCCCAGCACGCTCCCTGGCTGACACTGGAAACCCACCAAGCCCCTTTGTGGGAGCCCCCCCGACCCCCACCCTCCACCCCCGTACCCAGGAAGCATGAACGCAGCCATTGACACAGATGTTTTATTCCAGGGCTTGCAAACCCCCCGCTGGGCTCCCCTGGCCACGGAAACCTTTTCTTTGGTTCAGACTGAGCATCTTTTTTAAAGCTTTGAATTGGTTGCCAACATTTCAAATAAAAATCTGGGTTTCTGGCTTCCTCTGAGAAAGCCCGAAGCGTGGGCACCACAGGGCGTGTCTTCCCACGTGGAGGCCCGCGGCCGGAGGGACGGAGGGCAGGAGGATGCGAGTCCCCTGCAGCCGGCATCCACTCTCCAGCTCCGGGGCCCAGCCCTCCCTGTCCGCATGTCAGTGACTTCCCATCCTTGTCCTTGTTTCCTTACACCCGCCCAGGCCATGTTTGCACTGCTCGTCTGGCATCGGTAGACTTTCTTTTTTTTTTTTTTTAATATATTTTATTGAGTTTTTACAGAGAGGAAAGGAGATAGAGAGTTAGAAACATCGATGAGAAACATCGACCAGCTGCCTCCTGCACACTCCCCACTGGGGATGTGCCCGCAACCAAGGTATATACCCTTGACCGGAATCGAACCTGGGACCTTTCAGTCCGCAGGCTGACGCTCTATCCACTGAGCCAAACCGGTTTCGGCTGGCATCGGTAGACTTTCACACTGCAGGCCTGGTTTTAAGGGTCCGGATACAGGCGGCCAAACTGTTTAGTAGGAAGGGGGCGGTAATCTTGGTAGCTCCCTGCCTTGAGGGTATTCGGTTTGATTTAATGGGCAGTTATTGAGCACTTCCTGTGTGCAAAGTCTAGGAACAACTGAGCTCATGGGAAACAAGCTGAGGACAGGGTTATCGGGGAGTAGACAGCTGGCCCCTGAAGCCTGGGTGTGTGAGGATTTGCCAAGGGAGGGTAAACAGTGCCCGCGGGGCTGTAACAGAGGTCAGTTAAGATAAGGACAGCAGGCCCTTCCGGCAGCTCCTTGTCAGATGCCATAGCAGGTTCAGGGAGATGAAGAGAGAGAGAAAGGCAGACTGCCCGGTGCTGGAGGTGAGTGGATGGTGAAGAGGCAGAGGCAGCCGGTATAGACAACAGTCTGAACAATTTGGCTCCAGAGGGCACCAGCCAAGACTGTTCTAGAGGGGGCGGCGGGAGGAGGGGTGTTGGCAGGGAACGGGGAGAGTTAGTGGGGAGTGAGCTGTGGTCACGGGTGCACTCAGATGCCTGGAGCTCGGGAGGCAGGAACACAGCACAGCCAGAAAATGAGCTCTGAACTGGAGTAACGGGCAAGGCCTGAACAGCGTGGGAGGGAGGTGAGGGCAGGAGCGTGGCGATGTGCGGGCGGAGAAGTGAGGAAATCCTGCCTCACGGAATCCTTTCCCTCAGGAGCTCAGTCCAGTGATCTCTGAGGCCTCCTCGAAACCAGGACTATTCTACCCTTGGCCCCTGATAAGGGAGTGTGATGGGCTGAGTCGTGTCCCCTCCCCAAATTCAAATGTTGAAGTTCTAACCCACAGCACCTCAGAATGTGACTGCATTTGGAGATGGGGTCTTTAAGGTGGTAATCAAGGGTAGGTGAGGTCACATGGGTGAGGCCCTAAACCAATGTAATTAGTGCCCTTAGAAGAGGAAGACACACAGGGATGCACACACACGGAGAAAAGGTCATGTGAGGGCTCTAGGAGGAGGGGGCCATCTGCAAGCCTTGGAGAACAGCCTCAGGAAAAACCAAGCCTGCCTCCAGCTTGATCATGGACGTCCAGCCTCCAGCACAAGGAGAACATAGATTCCCACCATGTTGTTGGGTGAGGAGTTGGTGGGGGATAGGGTGCACAGATTGGCTTTGTGCTGACTTGGTGTAGAACCACCATGAAGTACAACCCTAGGAAACCAAACTCCGAGAGGCTGACCCCTAAGACGTGTGTACCCAGCATTACCCCCGGCACACAGGAGGCAGCCCAAAGGTATTGGCAAATGTGTTTATGAAGGAAGAGAATTCGCTGAGAACATTAAAAGGCTGAATATCTACAACCACCTGCTGGCGGGTGTATTAGTCAACACTCTGTGTTGCAAGGGACAGGACCCATTCACACCAGCCTAAGCCAGAAACTTAAAATAAAAGTTAAGAATTTACAAATGGAGGGGGTGGGGGAGGTTTACAAATTGTCTTGGAAACGAACAAGTCCAGACCTGCTTCAGGCATGGTTGGATCCAGCGACAAAGAGATGTATGGCGTGATCTCTCTTCTGCTCTCCGGCCTTGGCTTTCCACCCGGGCAGGTGCACTGCAGGGGTAGGTCCTGAATGCTCCCCCCAGGCTTCCACCCTCTCTGCGCCCAGCGGTTCACCCCGAAGACAGGAACCCTCCCTTCCAAACAGTTCTAACTTCAGTCTTGAATTGGCCCTGAGCCACTGGGCCAGAGTCACGAGACCATCCTTATCCGATTGGCACTGCTCCAGGGCATGGAGAGGGGGAGGGGTCATTTCCCAAAGGAAAACCAGGGCGCTCCCCCCAGCAGAGGGGACACTGGTTTCCAGGCAGGCGCGGGCCACTGCTGCCCCCTGGGCTGAGTGTGTGTGGAGAGGAGACAGGGCACGCAGGGTGACTAGGTAAGTGGGAGTGGGAAGCATGCCACCTGGAGGACACAGATAGAGGGGTCACGAGAGCCGTGTTGGGTCCAGGCGGGACCAGGGGCGCAGAGGAGTTAAGGAGGCTGGGATCTGAAGCAGGTGTCCGGCCAAGGGGGCGTGCGGTGCATCAATTGCAAAAATGGCCCTGCTTCTTACCCTCCCTGGGTCCCCTCAATGTGCCTTTACAGCATCTCTCACCAAGCATGGAGTGTCCTTCCCTTCCCCCAGGCCCTGGGCTGGCTTTGTCACTTGCTTTGAGGAGACTGTGGTAGGAGGGACAGTATGCCAGTCCTGAGCTCAGGCCACCAGGGGGCATCTGGGCCTTTGCTTGTCGCGTGGACCGCTGCCTCCACCCTGGGAACCATCCTGGCCATCTGGCTGGAGGACCCAGCTGTCCCAGGAACGCCCTGGGCCTGGGAGGGAGCCCTGTGGGGCTGCCAAGCTGACCCCAGATGAATGCACACACACGAGTGAGCCCACGGCCCAGCTCAGAGCAGTAAGTGGCTGCTGTTTTAAGCGACTGAGGTTTTTGTTTTGTTGTTGATCCTCAGCTGAGGATACTTTCCCATTGATTTTTAGAGGGAGTGGAAGGGAGAGCCAGAGAGAGAGAAACATGGATGTGAGAGACACATGAATTGGTTGCCTCCTGCACATGCCCAGACCAGGGCCGGGGAGGAGCCTGCAACCAAGGTATGGGCCTTTGACCAGATGGAACCCAGGACCCTCGGTCCACAGACCGACACTCTACCCACTGAGCCAAACCGGCCAGGGCAGCAGCTGAGTTTCAGGACAGCTGGTTCCATGGCATGTGTGGCCAATAGGTGACCAATGGCGGCAGGCGAAGCTGTGCTCCCTGGCCTGGGGCTGCATCTGCCACACGTTTCTAACTCGCGGGGAAATGCCACACGGGCTCCGGAGCTGCGGGTCGCCCTGTGCCTGGCCTGGGGGAGTCTCTGTTCTCTGCGATCTCCTGTGGGCCTGCACTGGCCTCCTGCCACGCTTCCCAGACGCAGCTGTGGGAAGGCGTGGAAGTCACCCAGCGCGAGCAGCTGGGGAGAATGCGCCACTGGCCACCTCTGGCTCCATCCGCCCGCCCTGGGATATGCCTTTTGGTTTAGTGATTCCTATGTGGTGGCTACCGAAGGGGAACCAAACGAAGAAAAGAACACCCATGGCCTCAGAGGGGCTGGGAGCCTGGCAGGACGGGAAGAGTAACGCGGCTGGTTGGCCTCAGCGGGGGACCGGGGCGGGGGGGGGGGGGGGGGGGGGGGGAGGGTGGGCCTCCGAGGGACGGGCCTAGAGCCCGGATCAGAGTCCCTGGGAGAAGGTTGAGGAGAGAGGCGACAGGGAGCTGCCCGAGGCCAGGGCCTGCCACCTGGAGCCCGGACAGAAGTCAACGCGCCCTCCCGCCCGTGCACCCCTGCGCCCCGGTAGCTCCAGACACAAGTACAGCTGCTGGGATCGCGGAAAGTCCGAGATGGTGTCCCTCCCCCCGAAGCCTGCTTTTCTCAAGGACCCGTTCCAGGGACCATCACAGACCCATCCGGCAGCCACCACGTCCTGTCCAGGCGGCACCCGGTCGTCTCCGTCTCTCCGGCCTGCCTCTGACGCCCATCCCGCTGCCTGACTGCTTGGAAACTGAGAGATGTCCGCCCCCCAGATAAAGCCTCAATGCTGCCGCCCAGCATAGCGGATCTTCCTTGCCCAGCCCTTGGCTGTTTCTCCCTGCTCTCTCCTCCCTCCCTCCCGCCCCCCGCCCGCCTCTGGGCACCGCCAAGTGCTTTTCCCTCCAGCTCCCAGCAGCCCTGAGGCCCGGCTGGGAGAGGGGCCTGCAGCTCACAGTGCCCGGGGTGGCGTGCTCAAGGGCCTCTGCCTCCCGCTCCAGGGTTCGGGTCCAGGAGGTCTGTGCCCCCCGATGACGACCCCCAGGGCCCGGTGGGAGCCAAGCCATGGAGGAGCAGACAGCAGAGGCCGCCAGGGCCCCGGCCACTCGCAATTCACCTGCAGGTCGCAGCCCCCCACCCGAGTCCCCTCCGTCCCGAGGGTTCGGGCGGCAGCCCTTGCTGGCCTGCCTGGGGGTCAGGTGGCGTGAGGTGCAGGGGGCCCGCGGAACCGGGGCACAGCCAGGCCAGGGAGCGATGGCGGCCCTCCCGGGGGGTCACCTTCCCTGCGAGTGCACGGTGGCTCCTGCACCCCGGCACTCAGGCCTGGGGCTCGGCCGGGAGATGGGGTCCCGCAGAACCCCGACCTTCGCAGTGGCTGACGTTCAGTGCTGAGGTAGCTGGAGACGTGGGCTCCGTGGGCATAGCAGCCCGGGGTCCCAGGCAGGAGGGTCCAAGGGGTGGGCGAGGCCCCAACCTAGGTGGCCCCGGGCCGAGGCCGCAGCCTCTGGTGTTCCTCTCCACACCCAGGCCGAAGGGGGCGCGGTCGCGCTGTCACCAGGCCAGGGGCGAAGCCATGCCCGAGCTGCGCGCACCCTCCCCGGCCTGCAGGTCGCCGAGGGCCCGCTGCGGGGGAGGAGCAGGGGGAGGGTTTGTCAGTGGTTCCGGGAGCCCCCAGCCCTTCACCCAACACCTGTCTGGCCAACTTCAGCACCTAGCAAAGCAGAGGCCTACACCCCTCCCCGGGGGGTGGGGGCACTCACTGGGGGGCTTTCCCAACACCCCGCTTCACAGAAGACCCCTCCCTCTGTCGACCGCGGGCCCTGCCCCTCCCCGGGGCCGGCAGTCTCCCGGGGGCCGGGGGCCGGCTCACCTCGAACTTGCTCATGAACTCCGCGAAGATGCCGAAGAAGGCCTCGGAGGTGGTGGCTTTGGAGTCCTCTCCGAAGAAGGCCAGCGCCTTGCCCAGCTCCTCCACGGCCTCTCGCTGCAGCCCGTCCAGCGCCCGCAGCGCCGGCTGCGCCGTCTCCAGGAAGGACTGGGGGCCTCTGCTCAGGAAACTGCCCACCTGCTGGGCCCCCAGACAGCCCGGCCGCCCGTCCCGCGCTCCAGGCCTGTGCCCCTGAACGAGTCCTGAGCCCTGTCCTGCCGGGGCCTTTCCCTCGGTCCTCTGTCCAGCAGCTCTCTCCCCCCGGCCCTCCACAGCTCTGCTCAGGTGCCACCACCCCCCTTTCCAGCCATTCCCAGGAGTGGCCCCCTGCCCTCTCCAGGCCTGCCCCGCTCCGTCTCTTTCTATGGCATTTGTCACTCTGTGCCCAGTGGGAATGTCCCTCTCTCCCGACTGCCTTGGGCTGGCCCGGGCCTGACAAGCCTCTTTCTGTATCTGGTAACTTAGGTCCGGGCTCTCCTGGGGACCAGGACCTGGAACAAGAGCCTAGGACAAGGGGCGCACAGCCTTGGCCCACGTGCTTGGCTTCTAAACAGCCCAGGATGGACCCTCTTCCAGCACCCGGGACACACAGCAGCCTCTGCCAGAACCTCTGTGGGGAGACGGTGGTCACCGGAGCCGGAGCCAGCTCCCCCCGAGGGCCCCCCACCACCCTGGGTCCCCTGGGCCACTGGGCCAGGCTGCCCGGAGGATACCGTCATGACGGCGGCAAACTTGTCCTCACTGGAGGGGGCCGTGCTCTGGCAGGCAGCCTGGATCTCGCGGATGGTGCCGTGCAGGTCGTCCAGGTCGCCGGTCAGAGCCCGCTGGTTCACTGCAGGGAGTGTCAGGGCCTCGTGGGGCCACACGCCCGCCCAGCGGCAGGGCCCGCCTCCCACCCACCGCCCAGCCTACCTTTGGCCGCCAGGGGCACCGTGGGCAGGTCCTGCGCAAAGCCCAGTAGCTCGGGGAAGTGCTGGCTCAGCGATTTGGCGAGGATGTGCAGGAAGGTGAGCTTCCCGTCCACTGTCTTGGTGGAGTTCAGCTGCGAGTGACCCCAACACACACCCTCCTCAGGCCCGTCAGCTTGCTGACCACACGGGACCAGGCGTCCCAGCCCGGCTTCTCTCAGACCCGCCTCAGTCCCTGCCCTCAGCGCGACTCCGACACTCAGAACCCCACTGCTGTGTTCCGTCCTCCGGGGTCTTACCTGCTGGGGTGCCACAGGCCCCCCGGGAGCCTGGAGTTCCCTGCCCAGCTCTCTGGGGTCCCGGGAACCAGGCAGGGAGAGGCAGGCCCCAGGTTTCTCTGTCCTTGAGCGTTTGCCTTGTCAGCAGGCAGAGCCCAAGCCTCCCTGACTCCCCGGGTTGGGGGGGGGGGCGAGTGGGGGGGGAGCATCACTCCCAGGCCTGCCCTCTTGTGGTTTTCCGAAGCGTCTGTGGCCCTGCTGAGCCTCAGACATCCTAAACCAGTGGCTGGCAAACCGCGGCTCGAGAGCCACATGCGGCTCTTTGGCCCCTTGAGTGTGGCCACGAAGTCTCAGTCGCACTGTACGTGCGTGCCCACACGTGGTATTTTGTGGAAGAGCCACACTCAGGGGCCGCAGTTTGCCGACCGCTGGCCTAAACCATTTCTACCTGCAAGTGGAGTTTTCTTCCTCTTTTGTTAAACGACGAAAGGCTCCCTGGGGAGACGTCCCAGGAACACTGGGGGGAGGGCTGGGTACTCATGTTTCTGATCCCAGATCTTGGGGTGGGGGTGGCTGGACTGACAGTGTGGGAGCTGTTGGGGGTACAGAACCTGCCAGGTGGGCGCTCCCCTTCCACTTGGAGTCTCCCCTCCATGATCCCCACCCCCATAGTTCCAGACCCAGAGGCTTGGCGTGGAGCAGCACCCTCCCTCCCCCCAACCTTTGCCTTGGTCACATCCTGGCCCCTGGGCAGCCGCTGCTCCTCCTGGGGAAGGCCCCCTGGGTGGTGATGTTCCCTCCTCTGCTCTGCCGCCCCCCGCCCACCCCCCCCCCCCCCCACCTCAACGGCAGAGCAAGGCAAGCTCCTCACCTCCGTCAGGAAGTTGATTTTGAAGCCCGTGGTCTTGTTGGTTTTGGGCTGTCCGTCATTGAGATAGTTGCCCATGGCCAACACGAACTGTGGAAAGGAAGGTGGGCGGGCAGGTACTCCTCCACCCCTCACCCCCTGGCCCTCACCCCCTGGTCCATGGCGGGAGCCCCAGGGGGCAGAGGGGCAGGTTGGTGACGGAGTGGGGGGGGGTGCGCGCTGACCTCCAGGATCTTGGCGAGCTTCCGGCTGTTCTTGAGCTCCAGGGAGGCCTGGCGCAGGCACTCCAGGCTGGCCTGGATCTCCTCCGTCTTCTCCTGCAGCGTGGCCTGGAAGTGGAGGCTGCGCAGGCGGGTTTTGTAATCCGGAACCGACAGCATCTGCCGCAAAGGCCGGGCCGGAGTCATCCATCCGCCAGCACCACCAGGAGACCCACCGCCCCATCGCAGCCTGGGGTCCCGGCTGGCTGCGGGGCCAGGTGTTCCCTTAGGACAATAAGCCGGGCCCCTAGGGCCACGGGCATCCCATCTAGCTGGATCCCAATGGAGCTGGCTCATAAAGGTGTAAATGGGCTGCTTGTGCGGCGACCTATGAATCAGGAGGTCACGGTCAGGGCACATGCCCGGGTTGCGGGCTCGATCCCCCCTTCGTGCATGAGGCAGCTGATCAATGCTTCTCTCTCATCATTGATGTTTCTCTCTCTCTCTCTCTCCCTTCCTCTCAATAAAGATATTTTTTAAAAGAGAAAGGTGTAAACTGGTACTCAGAGGTGTGAGTGTGGGGGCGCATGTGGAGCAGGACCGACGGCCCCCCGGACTTCGGGAAGCCGGGATGGAGCGGGCGGCGCACCTGCAGGACGAACTGGTCGGGCTCGCTGAGGCGGCCGGGCGCCTCTCGGAAGGCCTGGTAGCGCAGCTCCTCGTCGGCGTCGGGCGCGAAGAGCAGCAGCTGCGCCAGGTGCGCGGGCTCCAGCCGCCCCGGCTCCATGCTCATCAGCACCTGCCGCAGCTCGGCCGGGCTCAGCTTCAGGTGCGCCAGCAGGATGGCTGCGGGGCGCTAGGGTGAGCCGGGGGGGCCTGGACATCCGCCTGAGCTGCTGGGTGGGCCCGGGGGTAGGGGGAGGACCAGGGCGGGCAGGAGCCGGGAGAGGTGGGCAAGGCGGGGTTCTCTGGGAGAGAGATCTGGAGCTGAGCGGGGACTGGCGATGGGGCCAAGGAACCTAGGAAGGGGCCTGGAAGCGGGACCAGAACCCGGCCAACAAGAAGGCGGGACCTATGGGGGGGCCGGTCCGTACCTACCCAGGGGGGACCTGGCAGGATGTGGGAGCAGGGAGGGGCCTCTGCCCCGCTGGATGGCAGGTGTATAGCGGGGGAGGGGGGGGCTGGGAGGGGGTTACAGCCTAATTTCTGTTTCCCATCAGGGCGGCCGCCCCCTGCCCCCCGCAGCCCCGGGACCCCCTGCCCCTCACAGGTGTTGTAGGCCTTCTTGTGGGACAGGATCTCCACCACCTCCTTCTTCCTGAAGGGCTCGGGCCTGGGCACGGGCTCTGGGAGGGAAATGATGGTTGAGCGAGGGAGGCCAGGTGAGGCTGCTGTGAGAGGACCCGGGCGTGGCGGGGGGGGTGGCCACCCCCACAGCCCAGGCGCCCCCTTTCCGTGGCCGAGATCGAATCAGCTCTGGGCCCCACTCGTGCACTCTCGGGCCCAGCCTAGCACTCAGCATGCACGGCGCGTCCCTCCCCGTCCCCCCGTCCTCTCTCCCCCGGCTGTCTGTCGGGACTGAGCTGCCCGGGTGAGGGGACCAACCCCTCTGGGCCTTGCAGATGCCTCCTGGGTGGACACGGCCTTTCTCTTCCATCCGGGGACCACTGTCCACACAGGATCCTTGGATACCTGCAACCCCCTCCCCACCCCCCCCAACAACTACAGGGAGGGGCACAGAGAGGGCGAGGGGAGGGGCCTGGGAGGGCATGGTGGACGCCTCCTGTCAGCCTCGTTGGGGCTGTGACTGAGGTCACCCAGCCCCCCTGTGCTTTCTCATCAGGAAGTCATCAGTGTCTCGGGTTGGATTTGAAATGGGGGTGCAGGGTGTCTGGCGTGCAGTAACTATGCCATAGACGCCAGCTGTCAGTCTCTCCGTCCTGAGGCGGGAAACTGAGCTCTGAGGCCTTAACTCAGGGACGCAGTGAGTGAACGGGGGTCAGTGCAGCCCTCGGGGGCTCTGAGCCCTGGGCTGTCCCCGAGGGCAGTGGGTGGGTTGCCACTGCGACCCTGGGATGGGGTCCCCCGGGGCCCTCAGGCCACTCACTAGCCGGTTTCTGGGTGCCAAAGTGGAGCTCCAGGTCAAGGTATTTCACCATGTCACTCAGCTTATCATAGTCAGAGTCCTCCCCCAACTGCAAGGGAGGGCGGCTCGCAGTGAGGAGGAGCCCCCCCCCGCCCCCCTCCCCCCACCGCAGGGAGAGCCCCCTTGGGCGCTGGGATAAACCCAGGGCGGCCTGCAGAGGAGCCACATCACCCGCTCTCAGGTGCGAGCCGCTCCTCTGCTGGCCAATCACACGCTCGCCTGGAACCCCCAGCAGAGGCCAGCACTGTGTGGGGAGGGGCTGCAGGGCTGCAAAGGGGCTGGAGCCCCCAGGGGGCCTTCGAGGTGGCCGAGGGGTCTGGCCCTGCTTTGAGGTGTCCTTTGCAGGGAGTGAGCTGCCCCGTGTCCCTGATGCCGGGAAACAGAGCCAGGGAAATGTGTGTGGGGGGGGTGGCTAGACGCTGGACAGGGCCTCGTCCTCAATGCTGCTGCCCAGGCCACCCCCCTGCGCAGGGCCCCGGGGCCTCAGGCCGCCTACCTGACCCCAGATGGTGCCCTCCGAGTTCTCCACCTGCTCCCACCGAAGGCGCTTGACGCTCATGTGGCTGGTCTCGCTGCGGCGGTGGCCCAGGCCCCGGGACAGCATGGGGGGGGCACAG